TTCGGGTTTGCCTCAAGTATTGACCTAAAATATAAAAAATACCAATTCTTTTGGTTCACACAAATTGGAAAAAAAAATCATCATCTCACTTCATCTCCTCGCATCTCTTCGGCTCCCTTTTCACTCTTCTTCTCCTCTCCATTTCGATCTGCATCAAAACAGGTTTCCCTTTGTCGGTGAGGTTTGTGGCCTAAGGAAACTCAGCGACGGTGGCTTTCGTAGGGCTTCGCGGCCTCTCCAGCTTGAAGATTTTCCAGATCCAGTCCTGAAGAGTTTTTGACAGATCCGGTGGTTCTCGAATGTTGTCGATGGAGTTTGGGTGGGCTTTTTGCGTCGCGAATCTCTGCACTTTCTTCTTGCTTCACCGTACAGCGAGATATCCTCATATCTGGCCTTACCTTTACCGACTGGAGAAATCAGTGCATCGGGTGACGGTGGTGGTTTCTCTGTGGTCTCACGACCGCAACAATGTTTTTTGTGGCTCAGTTTTAGATGTACCACAACAATGTTGTTTGTGGCTCGGTGGAAGATATTAAGAAATCGCTCGCTAACAGACCAAGCCAAAGCCTACTAGCTAAAGTAATCTCTCTTCTTTGATTGATATTTGAATTCAATCTAAATATGACTATGTCTTTGGGTTTGATAGATTCGTATTAGTTTCTATTTTGGATCTACTGATATTATATTACTAAAATGTTTTTGGATCATTACTAAAATTGTTTGACGAAATTACGTTTTCTAGGTGAAAACAATGAGTTGGATATTGTACCAGATTGTTTCTGATGCAATCAATTTATATGATTTTGAGAGGTAAGTTATACTTCTACTTCATGAGACTTTACTTGTATGTCATAAATCTGGACCGAGTTTCAAAGAAAACAATTAACTTAAGACTTTGTAACAGAGAAGACAGCCTGAGACTAATAGTAGAGGGGTGATTGAAGAGGGATTAGTTCCTCCTTTCCTTTCTCCCTTTGTTCGTTCTGTCCAAAGCTAACCCAGAATTTGAAAGCATTAGATTCAATCCCAAAAGTGACTAGAAACATTACAAACCTTATGAGCCTGTGGGTACCATTCTTTGATCTTTGTCTCTTCAAAAATATTTTAGATAATTCGTACTCTGGTAATTAGTCGATTAGACTTTTATTTCTGGAACGTTTGGTTTTTGATGTGGTAGAATACAGTCAGATTGCAGGGAAGTTACCTCTAGATCTGGAGAATCTACCAAACATTCAAAGAATGTAAGAATCTTTGTCCACTTCTCTGAAAATGTTCATTTTTAGAATTGGTCTCTACTAATGTTGAGACTATGTTCTCTCTTTGTAGGCTTCTTAGTTCAAACTACTTGAGTGGAGAAATCCCAAGTACAACCATTGCTCCCCTTAAAAAGTTAACAGACTTATAAGTACACCAACTCTGCTGGTGGGATCCTTTCCGAACTCATAACCAATAATGTTTATTACTCTTTTCTATATTTGAGTTCTTTGTAGGAAAATCAGTGACTTGAGCAGTCTTGAAACACCAAACAAAAATGGCGACTCTCAAGGTTTCTTCTTCTGTTCCTTCTCCTCTTGAAGACGCTGATCAATTGCGAACCCCCTTCGAAGGTACTACTAACTCTGCTTCTTTCTTTCTTCATCTCTATGTGTGTAACCCGACCACTGTTCACTTATCAGTCCACTTAAGGTTTTATTTGATCTCTAATTGTTAGTTCAATTTGTTTAATGGTTTTGATGTGGATCGAGTTTGGTTTTTTGACGGTAGGATCCATGTTGTATCACTGATCTTGTTTATTTGTTAGATCTAGAAGATTTGTTTTTACTTATGGTGTTTTTATTCTTCTTTCTCTGATCAGAACTGATCTGTTGATTGTCTGAACATGTTTATTGACTATGATTGATGTATGGGATCTTGGTTTGATTGTCTGATTCTCATAGTCACAGATATGTCTTCTTAATCTGGATCAATAATAATGTAGTTATTTGTAATTTAGTCTAGATTCTTGGATCCAACTTTTGAATATTGTAAATCTGATTCTTGGATTCATGTTTTTTTTTTCTCAGGGTGGGGCACCAACGAGGACTTGATAATATCAATCTTGGCTCATAGGAGTGTTGAACAGAGGAAGCTGATCAGGCAAGCTGGTACTTCTGAAGAATCCACCAACTCGGAAATCCTCAAGGTGAAGGCAAAAGATTTGAGCTTAAGAATCAAAGCTTCTTGGTATGAAAGATTTGAACTTGTGATGTTAGTTTAAGACTTGGATTGATGTTTTGGAAGACTTGTTATGTATATTTTGGATGATTTATGAAATATAAAAGTATATATAAATTCAATCAAATATATTATACTTGAACAATGAGTTATAACACTTAATATGATCGCATCAAAATAATGCTACAACACAATATATAACATCTCAAATAAATAGCTACAACTAAACCTAATACAGCATTTTTCACATGCTATAAACATGTAGAT